CCACACCCCATTGCTAACTGGTCGCCAGTGGGTGTTACTGGGGCTGGGACAAACGATATCTGCCACCAGGCTCGGGGGTGGGAGCCCCTGTCCCTGGCTCTGCAGGGACTGCGACACCCCAGAAAAGCCTTTCCCTCTTTTGGGGAGGTGGTGGGGTGTGTGTGTTCTTGCAGTGCATGGCAAGCAATGCTTCTGGGCAGGAGAGACCAGGAAAGGGGGGAACTGCGACCCCCCGGCACCCCCTGTCCTGGGGAGGGTGGAGGTGAGACACCCCGGCAGTGGCCAGGCACTCCCCAGGGTTGTCCCCACCCCATGGGCCTGAGCTTTTTTAAGTCTAAACTGCGCAGTTTTATCCCACAGATCATTTTTATCATTTCTTTTGCAGGCAAAATGTTTCTCCCCTTGGCATCTGGGTTTTCATTTTCAATGCCTGCAACAGCACCCACTTTTACTGGGGTGTCACGGGTCACCCACCCGTGTCACCCCTTGTCACCCCATACCACCTGACATCTGCGCATCACTGGCAAAGCCCCTTCGGCAAGGCTGGGAGGGGATGATGCTCTGCAGACCCCTTCTGCCCCCTGCCCCAGCATCGCCTGTTTTGCCGGGGCGCCTGTCCCCGTCCCTGGGGCAGCCGTGACTCATCAGGAGGCGGGCGAGAGCATCTCTCCTTGAGCAAGGCCAGCTGGGGATAAGAGCGAGGCCACCCTCGCCTCCTTCTCCTGCTGCCCGCTCCCATGCTCGCCCAGGCTGTGCCCAAGCCAGGCGTCTTGCGGGGATGTCCCCTTTTCCCAGCTGCGGGATGCCGCTGGGTTGGGGGGGCTGCCACACCCATCCCGCCAACTCCTCGACCCTTCAACCAGCTGCCCGGTGACTGGCGAACCGGTTGGCTCAACCTCTACCGTTTCTGGCAGGAGGGCGGCTTGCACAACGTCCATCACATCATGGCTCGCAAGTTCCGGCAGTTTGGGCCCATTTACAGGTGAGGCAGCGTCTGGCCCCGGCATCACCCCCCGGCTCCATGGCCCTGGCAGCCCTTCCAGTCTGGAATACTGCCACTATTCCCAGCCCTGATTTGGGCAAGAAGGGAGTATGTTTTGCCATGTCCAGGCTTGATGCCACGGTGAGGGGCGAGAGGGGAGACTGGCTGGTGCCTTGTGGACGTGGGATGCTGGGAGGAGGGTGAAGCAGGGCTGGAGAGGGGCTCTGCTCCCTGTAATCTCCAAAGGTCTGGAGCTGACATCCCCAGACAGAGAGGGTTGGGGGGTGGTGTCCAGGTCCAGCACCCCCAGTTGTGCCTGCCTGAGCCCTGAGGGCCTGATCCTGCCTGACGCTGAGCTGCTGCATCCCCTGGGATGGGACCTGCAGGCAGGATTTTGGTGGGTGCCACAGGGAGGGTGGTTGATTTGGGGGTGCTAGGGGTAAAGAGGTTGATGTGGGGAGATGAGGGGCTGTGGGGGGATACAGATGGGATCAGGGTGCAGGGCTGATCCCCTTTCTCCTCCTGGCAGGGAGAAGCTGGGTGTCTATGAGAGTGTGAACATCATCAGCCCCCGGGATGCTGCCACCCTCTTCCAGGCGGAGGGGACGCTGCC